GCATGTATCCCAACAATCTCTGCTGCAGGGGTACTTCGAAACAGGAGAGACTTCAAATACGAGCTGCAAAAAAACATCTAGTCATAATATATGTACAAGAAATTTATGTTTATGCAATCCAATCAGCATTTTACATAACCATTGACACTAAATATTAATAAATGTAAATAAAATTTTTCATTATTCAAATAAAAGCTCCTACACTTATAATTTTTTAAGTGTATTGTCCCTTCTCGGCGACATGCTATACAATCCACTGCTTAGCTAGATCATCATTCTTTGGAAATCGAAAATATTTATTGTCCGTTACCTATAATTGTTACAAGTAGCAACATCACAATTTTATACATTTTATAGTTTTTTTATTGGCATACTAAAATTGCTGAAGAAATCCCCACACTTTAATTTAAACCCTCTAAAAACATCCAAAAATGGGAAACACACAAGTATTAGAAATTAAAAATTTAAGAAAACCGACTTCAAAAACGTGCAGATGCCATCACCACATCTTAACCAAATTTATATGGGACTACCCCTGAGGTACCCCTGAGTTACCCCCTTGCTAACAAAAAAGAATCTTATAAATCGGACAAGGTGGTAAAGCATTATCGCTAAACATACATAAAAAAATGAAGAGTTTGAGGATTTTCTCATAGAACGAATTATTAGATTTTGATCAAATTTATATGTAACCACCCCTGAAGTACCCCCTTTCTAACAAAAAAAGAATCATTGAAATCGGACACCGTGTTTAAAAATTATCGCTGAACATACATAAAAAAATATATTGCGACGAATTGAGAACCTCCTCCTTTTTTGAAGTCGGTTAAAAATCAACTTACTTTAAACTCTTCAAATAAGTACTTTTTAACCGAATTCAAAAAATGTCCTCAATTCGTCGCTATATTTTTTTATGTATGTTCAGCGATAATTCTTTAACACTGTGTCCGATTTCAATAATTCTTTTCTGTTGTTAGAAAGGGGGTACTTCAGGGGTGGTTCCATATAAATTTTGTCAAAATTTAATAATTGGGTCCATGAGAAAACCCTCAAACTCCTTATTTTTCATGTATGTTTAGCGATAATTCTTTGCCACCTTGTCCGATTTATATGATTCTTTTTTTGTTAGTAAGGGGGTACCTCAGGGGTGGTTCCATATAAATTTGGTTAAGATGCAGTGATGACATCTGCACAATTTTGAAGTCGGTTTTTTACTTTTAATACTTTTAACTCTTTTTTAAAATTTCAAAAATGAACGCGTATCATTATTTCGTATCATTATATATTTATAATTAGAAATAAAACTGTATTAAAAAATAATTCTTATTCAAGCGTCAATCAAATACGTTACGTCATGCGAGGGAAGCGCCAAATTCGGTCAAATTAGTAGCATACCGGTATTTGTGTATCGTACACCAGCATGTAACCGTTTAAAATAATTTGTTAATTAAATGCAAGTGCTCGCTCAACAATTTTTAAAACATCACTTTTTCTCTCCACGGCGAACTCTCTTTAAAACAGACATTTTCTAACTTTTCTATTTTTTTCTAATTTTTTCGAATTTTTTCGAATTTTTTTTAATTTTTTCTAATTTTTTCTAATTTTTTTTAATTTTTTCTAATTTTTTCTAATTTTTTCTAATTTTTTCTAATTTTTTCTAATTTTTTCTAATTTTTTTTAATTTTTTTTAATTTTTTCTAATTTTTTCTAATTTTTTCTAATTTTTTCTAATTTTTTCTAATTTTTTCTAATTTTTTCTAATTTTTTCTAATTTTTTCTAATTTTTTCTAATTTTTTCTAATTTTTTCTAATTTTTTTCTAATTTTTTCTAATTTTTTCTAATTTTTTCTAATTTTTTCTAATTTTTTCTAATTTTTTCTAATTTTTTCTAATTTTTTCTAATTTTTTCTAATTTTTTCTAATTTTTTCTAATTTTTTCTAATTTTTTCTAATTTTTTCTAATTTTTTCTAATTTTTTCTAATTTTTTTTAATTTTTTCTAATTTTTTCTAATTTTTTCTAATTTTTTCAAATTTTTTCAAATTTTTTCTAATTTTTTCTAATTTTTTCTAATTTTTTCTAATTTTTTCTAATTTTTTCTAATTTTTTCTAATTTTTTCTAATTTTTTCTAATTTTTTCTAATTTTTTCTAATTTTTTCTAATTTTTTCTAATTTTTTCTAATTTTTTCTAATTTTTTCTAATTTTTTCTAATTTTTTTAATTTTTTCTAATTTTTTCTAATTTTTTCTAATTTTTTCTAATTTTTTCTAATTTTTTCTAATTTTTTCTAATTTTTTCTAATTTTTTCTAATTTTTTCTAATTTTTTCTAATTTTTTCTAATTTTTTCTAATTTTTTCTAATTTTTTCTAATTTTTTTTAATTTTTTCTAATTTTTTCTAATTTTTTCTAATTTTTTCTAATTTTTTCTAATTTTTTCTAATTTTTTCTAATTTTTTCTAATTTTATCTAATTTTTTCTAATTTTTTCTAATTTTTTCTAATTTTTTCTAATTTTTTCTAATTTTTTCTAATTTTTTCTAATTTTTTCTAATTTTTTCTAATTTTTTCTAATTTTTTCTAATTTTTTCTAATTTTTTCTAATTTTTTCTAATTTTTTCTAATTTTTTCTAATTTTTTCTAATTTTTTCTAATTTTTTCTAATTTTTTCTAATTTTTTCTAACTTTTTCTAATTTTTTCTAATTTTTTTGTATGCTTATTTGTTTTAGTTTTTATAAATAAAAGTAACTATACAAACTAATTTTTTTTATACCAAATCATTGATAAAATTGCATACGAAGTATGTTATAATGCAGCCCTCACAACCGCAATTGGGTCTCTTGAAGTTTGTCAGCCCTGCTGTAGAGCATTATTCAAAGTTGCAGGAGTCACTCGTAATAGGGTAAATTATAAAAAAATATTTAATATGATTGCGCTTTGAGCTAAAGAAAGGATGAGCTAAGAGAAAGCAGCGATTCATTCGGACTCTCTGAAAATCGCTGTGAATAGTTTTTTCAACTGAATAAAGAGTACCTATGTTTATATTTTGTAGCTTTTTATGTAATAAATAATCCTTTTATTGATGTTATAAGAATATAATAGAGAAAGTGTGGCTTTGATAAAGGTGAGGTTATTTAGAAAAGATGTTGCTCTAAAAACGAAATTCTTTTTCGTCCTAATAGTTCCTCTGTCTTATCTAACTGCAAAAAGTGGCATGTCGGGTTTTTGTAAGGAAATTAATTATATTTATTAATTTGGTTCTTGCGAATTTTAGAGATCTTTTTTATCCATGGATATGTCAAAACTCAACTCAGCTCAACAAAGTTCCTGATTTTCTAATCAAATTCTGCCAAATTCGATTTAAAATACTATTCTCTACCCCTACGAACAATAAAATTCATCAGTGATTTTTTTTGGGCCAATATTTTATACAGAGTCGTTTTAATACACGCATATTAATTACATTCAAAATTTTGAGATATCGCGATCTACAATCTTTTCAAATACCACTCATCCTTACATTTTAAGGACTCGTGGTAACGTATGTTGCAAAAATCTTTGAGTTATTTTTTCAAATAAAAAAATGCAATACTTTATTTAAAACCTATCAAGAACAACTGAAAACAACATTAAAATAATACTGTAGAATTGGTAATGGGCCATGATCTTCAATGTCTCGCAACTTTCGCTTAATGTTCTTAATTAGGATTTGGGCGCAGATATTAAATCTATCTGGTCTTCTGCGTTATTTTGAGGTTTAGGTGAGCTAAGCCAAAAAACAAGAATCTCACTGAGCTTATTATTTAAACATGCAACAGTATTCTAGGCTGATTTACTTGCGCGAGAAAGAGCCTCAAAGGCTCCTCTTATTGGCCCAGAACCCGTCTATGGTGTCACAAAGACAGCTATCAGAACACGCACAAACCAGTAGATGTTAAAACAATCTCAGAAATGGTGCAACAATTCACTAGGACAAAAACAAGTCGAAGAGTTCTTAAAGGAACCTGTTTGAGTCGATGTTTTATATTTCTTTTTTGTAGTGGACTGTATGTTATACCTCGTTGGACTAAAATACCGCTTTTTTACTTTGTATAATAGTCAAACACTAAGAACAGAATTGGATTGTATGAACACCTATTTTAATATATTTTTAATGATTAACGGATTGTTAATATTAATTTATAATGTTTCGTTTCCCTGGTATTTTCGCCATAGGTGTATCAAAAGTAGGTTTTGCAGTGTTCTGTAACGCCACCACCGATCATCTACTAAGTAATAATAGGAAAAATTCTATAAAGTACTATTAGGCCTGTTAACAAGGCGTTGTAGGCTTAACAAATATATGTAGCAGAATATACCTTGTGACGATTGTCAGGAAGAGGAGGAAAATACAGTACACGTATTGTGCTACTGCGAAAGTCTATCAAGAATAAGATTCCTTACATTTGGAAAAGAAAAATCAATGACAACTAGCTACGCCGGAGAGCCACCTACTAGTCTATGAAGTCTACGAGTCTATAAAAGACCAAACTAGACTCTAACCAACGATTAAATGTTATCCACAATAGAACTGAAAAGATCGAGGTGCATGGTATAATTAAATTCTGCACTTTTTGCTAGATTATTCTTGGTTATTTCCATACAGAACCAAACCAAAAAATATCTGATATAGTTGTCATGGTAACGTTTTTTTTGTAAAAACAAATACGTGTTACCAACTTTGTTTAAACGCGTCACCATTACCACGGTCCATTGTTGTCAACGGCAATAGTACCTCAAAAAATTAAAAAACAATTCTCAAAACTTTGACAATATATATAGATACTTTGATTTAATAAATTTGATCAGACTAATAGGTTGTGACCTGGCCCACCAAAAAATGACATTCTAAAAACCGTTTACCCATTGCCCCAATCTACCTGCATACTATCTTCAGCGTCCTGTTGACTCAGTGACAAAACAAAGATTTGCAGAATCTCCCGTATAAAAGCAAGTGAGTTGGCGGTGGCAATCCTCTTATACCATACGATTGTCATTTGTTGGCTGTGGCTAGCAAAAGAGCGAAAGTTGCCTTCGATCCGAGAAGAATAATTCGCCTTCAGTTGTTTCAGTGCCGAATAATCGACGTTTCAGTGCATGCTGGGATATGCGGCGTTGCGTCTGAAGTGATTATAGTGAGCTCTGACTGTACAGTTTTGGACTCACGAGTGACACAGTGTTGTGTTTCTAACGGCTGGAACGCGGGCGCCGGTTAACTTTTGACTTTCTTAGAGACATCCAGGAGATATCGATGAGCAGTATGGCGAGAATCCTTATTTTGTAAGTACTATTCTTTATTTTAAATACATTTCTGAAAAATTTCTTAAACGTTTAGTGAAGAATTTTTTTAATAATTTAATAAAAAAAAATCATTTTGTACCATCAAATTTCAATAAGTTAATTTATTAAAATAGTATGCGCCAAAAATTGAACTCTTTAGGTCAGTTTTTTGTGCTCTTTCCAAATGTATAAAACAATTTTGAAAATTATGTTATTCAGGGTGGTGCTTTGAGTTTTATTTAATTTATTTTTATTTCGGTATATACAAAATCATTGAAAATTGGTCAAATACTTTAGACAGACCTTGTAATTATAGCAGGAGCAGCCCCAGGCCGAATTTTCGAAGGGTGCCATAGTATCTTGCCATTATATCTTTTAGCTAGGACTATAAATAATTCTATACTCAAATTAAATGTATATATTTGTGATTTATATATAAAATTAAAGGTAACTTTCAATTTCTTTACAATTTATTTTAACGTATTTCATGTTATCACGTTATTTAATTTTTGTAGAATCTCCAGGATAAATAATCAGAAAACAAATCTAAGTAAACCTTTATGAACAGTACGTTAAAACATTTACCTATAGTGCAAACGTAAAATGTTACCCACACCACTAATTTCTGTACGTTAAAATGTTCGTAAAAATGCTCAAAATAAATCATATTTCTGCAATGAAAAATGTAGACCTTGTGCAGGGTAGTTACCGCATTAAAATTTTTAAATAGCAACGGGGTATATGACTGATAGCTCATTTGAAAGTGTTTTTGATTATCTATTCAAAAGTTTAAATAACTTTAAATTTTTTTTTATTGGTTTATGACTTAATTTAATTAAAAATGTGAAATAGACTAAAGAAAACAACTGAAAATAGACTATCTCTGTGAAGAAGTAAATGGACAACATTTTGAGTATTTGATGACTTAATTTAATAAACCTATGTGATAATATTTTGTCAGTTTAGTTTATTTCACATTTTTAATTTAATAAGTCAAACCCAATGAACCAAAGTTAAAATTACATCGTAGAGGATCTTTAACACATAAACTGACTAATCTGTAATCTGTAAATCATATTTCTGCAATGAAAAATGTACACCTTGTGCAGGGTAGTTACCACATTAAAATTTTTAAATAGCAACGGGGTATATGACTGATAGCTCATTTGAAAGGGTTTTTGATTATCTATTCAAAAGTTTAAATAATTTTAAATTTGTTTTATTGGTTTATGACTTAATTTAATTAAAAATGTGAAATAGACTAAAGAAAACAACTGAAAATAGACTATCTCTGTGAAGAAGTAAATGGAGAACATTTTGAGTATTTGATGACTTAATTATTAATAAACCTATGTGATAATATTTTGTCAGTTTAGTTTATTTCACATTTTTAATTTAATAAGTCAAACCCAATGAACCAAAGTTAAAATTACATCGTAGAGGATCTTTAACACATAAACTGACTAATTAACCTGTAATAAAAATCAAATATTAATATTTTGTAATGCTCGGTTGTTAATAGCCCATCAATTTTCCAGCACACTCCAGTAGCAAACATATAATTTTCTTCGAAACTAGAGATTCTAGAACGATACACTCGTAGCTTTCCGCTGTTAGAATATTGGTACGTTTTTCATCGGAGAATACCACGTTGTTCCAAAATTCCTCGCCGTGAACTATAAAATTTATTTGCAAACTGACTCTTCTACGCTTATTTTCTGCATTTTTTAAGCCAACTTGTTTTAAACGCAGTTGAGCTGTTCTGAGAGATCCTTGGAAAAATTCAAAAGGATTTTGATAGATATATTCTACGAGAGCAATGTTTTCATTTGAGACCTTCCCACACCTTCTCTGAAAGGTCTTGGCTGTCTTTGTTCTTTTTGTCAGGTTTCTTAACGTAAAATATGCAGCTTATACTGACATTTAATTCACCAACCATTTCACTTAAAAATCAATTTTCTTTCAATTTTGCTGTTACCCGGCGTTAATTCTTGGGAAGAGCTTATGCTCAGAATTAATGTTTCCACCGATAGGCTGAGACAAAATGAATTTGAAATAAGAAGAGCTCCTCGGATAATTAGGCGAAGAATACAGATATGTATTCGTGAAGATGGTCGTCATATTGAATATTTATTGTAGATAAATACTTTTTTTCACAGCTAACTTAGTGTTTGTGTTTTAAAGAACTTAACTTTAAACTTTAAAGAATTTTTGGAAAACTACGTCTACTTTTAGCAAGCACAGCACTTTTTGAAAACTATCAATCTTATCGAAGTGAACAAAGAAATATCTTTTCGTCTTAAAAAAAGAAGATTGAATTTTATGTATGGTCTCAAAAATAATAAAATTTAGAAGATAAAATTTTTTTGTAATTTTTTACACGACTCTACCCTAGTTGTGACACCCCAGTTAAATTTTTCAGAAATTCAAAATTTGAAGTATTTGTATCTTCAAACAGGCGTTGCTCCCTCATAAGGCATTATTGGATATATGTTTATGGAAACTTTCTGTCTAAAATTCACCTATATACTGTAAAAATATTTAGCACAATTTTTAGAATACCCTGTATGACTAATGAAATAAATTGGTATCATTGGATAAAAGTTTTATATTTTAAAATAAAATATAAGAGGATGTGAGTCTTCTAACAAAGATAATGCACAAAAGTATGAGTGAAAATGCCTAGGTCACCAATGTTGTCTAACCTCCACTGCAACAATAGGTACCCTGGACATAATCTCATCCATTTAGTATAATAATTTCTCCATTCTGTTTGCCATCTTTTGGAACTGATATCATAGAAGGGATCATGTAAATAAATACAATGTTGCAATGGAGGTTACACATCATGGTGACCCACGCATTTTCACTTACGTTTATTCTGCCGCCTACTTTTGTGCATTATCCTTGTTAAAAGACTAACATCCTCCTATATTTCATTTTTAAATATAAAACTTCCATCTAATTTCATCGAATAAATTTTTTAATTATATACAGTATCGGCTATTCAACGTCTTCCAATATGCCTTACGTGTGAAAACTACAGAGAGTTAGCATTAGAGCGAGCAGGAAACTAATAATAAACCGGCAACGCTGATATTATTCGTTTCCTGCTCGATCTAATACTAACTCTCTGTAGTTTTCACATACTTGTGCAAAGTGTATTGGAAAACGTTCAGTTGCCGATACTCTATATTACTTGAATTTTGTACAATCTGTTAATAGGTTTAATGTTAGTGTTTAAAACTTTTTAATTTCCAATGAATATTTGCGTTTGACTTTGTATCTCCACTTTTGATTGTTCCCTTACTAATGTCTGATGATGACCCTCGAGTTGAAACCGGTAGCCCTTTTTTAGTTTATTGTTAAAGCATATGTGATACATATTTTAAGTATAATTTTGTCATTTTTAAATTTAAAATTATTTAAACCATTTAATAGAGAATTAAAAATTCTTTTAAATAAGCTATCAGACGACCCCTCTTGCCATTTAAAGTGTTCAAGGGGGTAGCTATCCTGCGCAAGGGATTAATTCTTTTTTTTAGCATAATATTTATTTTATAAAAGGCTCATGAATTGTAGAAATGTTACTGTTAGAGAGAGACATGGCCCCCTCCCTGGAGCTGCCCTTGAACTATAGTCTTTTAGTTTATTACAAATAAAAAAGTAACAGTGGCGTGGCTGGGTTGAACGGCGCCAGGTATTACACTCAAAGGTCGCGCTTATGGAAGGGGGGCAATCAAACCCAATAAGTGTAAGGTACATTTTTAATAGAACAATAATTTCAGGGAAACATACCTACATGCGCTACGATTGCTTAATCAGCCGTAAACGTAAAATGTTTCGGGGATCGGCAGGCGGCATTGGATTCCCGACATTTTTTAGTTGTACGCATAAAAAATCAATGTAATTGATGAATAAATATAATTAAGTTTGTATTTAGACGGTAAAAGAATTTTAGATAATAAAGGCGCTATGTTGTGTAATTCTTAAGGACTGGATGCGCCTAAACCTGCTGCCGCCGGATAGCAGTTGCTGCCCCAGATGCCCCAGTAGCTACGCCACTGATAAGTGTTTTATTATTTGACACATTTGCGGTAAAAACCTATTTTTAAACGTTAATAATCAAGAATGCTTGATACCATGAAACGGTAGATACCTGGTGTATCATTAAGAACAACTGAAGATTCTCTGAGTAAAAATAAGACGATTAAATGAAACATGTTTAGAGAAGATATTACTGGTTTCCTAATACAGGGTGTTATAACTCAAAATTAAAAATAATTTATGGTCATAATTTTTTTATTTCTTTGTATAATTTAACTAAATTCGTTAAACATTTTTGGTGTCCTAAGGTATACCTTTCAGGAAAACAGTTTTACCACTGTCCAAAAACTTATTTTGACTATACTTTTACCTTTTTTGATATTTTTTAAATAAATCATGTACTTTTGTTGGGAACTCATAAATTGATTGGTTTTCGAGATATTCACACTCAAATGTGAATATTCTTCATTTTAATTTTGTAATTTTGGATTTTTTTATAAAATTTTACAAGGCAAACGTTGTTCTTGTAATAATATACACCTATCAGCAAAAAATCAGTCAAATAAACTTTACCAGGGGCGTATGGCATGAGTAAGTAACACTTTCTCCCTTCTAAATTTTACGCCTCTCCCCAAAAACTTATTTGGACTGTGACACCAAAAATATTTACCGAATTTAGTAAAATTACACTCTGAAATAAAAAAAATTATAGCTCTTATTCATTTTTGAATGTTTAACTTTAACACCCTGTATTTCGGAAACCAGTGATATTTTATTTAAGCATGTTTCGTTTATTTGTCTTATTTTAAATCAGAGATTCTTCAGTTGTTCTGTGTCCTATTCTTAATGAGACACTCTCAAGACTAGATAGATACAAATAGGCAAATAAAAAGTTAGGCTTTTTAAACAGAATGAAGAAGAAAAAGTTGATTTATACTTACTACCCGTTTTGC